ATGCTGGGATCTTTTTTCTTTCAGTAACACAGGAATGGCACGGGTTTGTGTATATGTCACGACCTGCAAGCAAATTGCCATTCTGTGGCCCATCTGAGACTATGTCCCCAGTTCTGTGACCCAGGCCACACAGTCTCAGCTCTGTGCTGGGACCTGAGGGTCTGAATCCTCTCCCCCTTCCTTCCCGCCACAGCATCTGAAACGCCCACCATGAAAACGCTTTCATTGGGTTAGTAAAAGGGAAAACACAATTCGTCGTGAACAGGAAGAGGGTATAATACATATATTTGTGGTCGATTTAGTGTGAGGAGGTTTAACAACTAAGTTAGCATCTAATAAGGCCAAGACCTAGAACAGGGATTGGGGAGGCAGTGGTTCTTTCTGCCTCACAGAGGGCGACACTGCTCACTTGTTCTGATGACTGTGGCCAATCAGCTACATGATCCATACAAACATTTTCAGGGTTTGGGCAAATCAGGTTGGAACTCTTCTTGCGTGATTTGGAAACAGAGGACAGAAGCACGGGAAGGCCAATAGCCTTTCTCACTTTTTTGCTTTATGACCTTGGATTTGTTCCAGAACTGGCAACACAAGTTGCAGAGCCCATTGCAAAATGAAAACGCAGTGCCCCTTGTTCAGATCTTAAAGAATTTCAAGATGGTGACAGAAGACCATTAAACAAAGTACAAGGCCCTTCTGAGCAGGGGACCTGTGCTTTTCTCCCAGGGCAGAGCGCTGGTGTCCTCTGATCCAGCTCAGTGACTGTCACTTGCAAGACTACGATGCCCAAAAGAAAAAGAACAGCATTCATTTCACCATCGAATGGGCCCTCCCCACTGCGCCCAGGATAGCTCTTGAGATGAACAATAGCTGACACATTTGCACGTTTAAGAGAGAAAACTGCACTGATTCATGAGACTACACGTGTGTTAGAACTAGTCTTACTGAGCAAGCAGAAAACAGTCTCCTTTGACTCTATCAAGGTATACTAGGAGATATTTCCTCCCTCCCCCTCCATCCCTCTCTCCCTCTCTCCCTCTCTCCCTCTTTTTGTTTTAACTGAGCCATTTCCTGGGGAGCCAAATTTACGGGCCTTTGCCATGTTTCAAGTCCTCTCCTTGAAGTAAGAATGATCTCTGTAGTTATCATATCAACAAAAGCACCGATGTCAGAGTAAACAAAAATGCAAAAGCAGCGACAGTTTGACGTTATAATTATACAGTGGGGTTCTGCTCAGCTCCTGTTCTGAAACGGAACCTGCAAAACAGTCTTACACAGATGCGCTTTATTTTTTTAAATCATTTTTATTTTTTAATCTCAGTTGACATATAATGTTATCTTAGTTTCAAGTGTACAACATAGTGGTTAGACATTTATATAACTTATGAAGTGACCACCCCGATAACTCTAGTACCCACCTGACACCATACATAGTTATTGCCATATTATTGACTATATTCCCTATGCTTTACTTTACATCCCTGTGACTATTTTGTACTTCTTAATCCCTTCCCCATTTTCACCCACCCCCCAGCGACCCTCCCATCTGGCAACCCTCAAAACATTCTCTGTATCTATGAGTTTGTTTCTGTTTTGTTTATTTTGCTTTTTAGATTGAACATAGAAGTTAAACTATTATTTTTCTTTCTCTCACTGAGCATAATACCATCTAGGTCCATCCACGTTGTTGCAAACAGCAAGATTTTATTATTTCCAATGGCTGAGTAATGATCCATTGTATATAGGTAGCATCTTTTCTTTATCCATTCATCTATTGATGGACACTTACGTTGCTTCCATATCTTTCTTGGTTATTGTAAATATGCTGCAACGAACATATGGATGCATATGTATTTTCGAATTAGTGATTTGGGTTTCTTCAGATAAATACCCAGAAGTGGAATTACTGGGTCCTTCTTTGTCTCTTGTTTTAAAGTCTGTTTTGTCTGGCATAAGTATTGCTACTTCAGCTTTTGATTGGAGCATTTAATCCATTTACACTGAAAGTAACTGTTAATACATATGTGGTTATTGCCGTTTTATTATTCATGTTTTTTATCTTTTTCTTCTTCTTCTTAAAAAAGTCCCTTGAACATTTCTTATAATACTGGTTTGGTGGTGATGAATTCCTTTAGCTTTTTCTTGTCTGTGAAGCTCTTTATCTGTCCTTCGATTCTAAATGATACCTTTGCTGAGCACAGTAATCTTGGTTGTAGGTCCTTACCTTTCATCATGTTGAGTATTTTGTGCCAATTCCCTCTGTCCTGCAAAGTTTCTGTTGAGAAATCAGCTGACAGTCTTATGGAAGCTCCCTTGTAGGTAACTAACTGCTTTTCTCTTGCTCATTTTCAGATTCTCTCTCTGCCAGTAACCTTTGGCATTTTCATGATGATGTGTCTTGGTGTGGGCCTCTTTGGGTTCATCTTGTTTGGAACGCTCTGCACTTCCTGGGCTTGTATGCCTATTTGCTTTACCAGTTTAGAGAAGTGTTCCATTATTATCTTCAGATGGGTTATCAATCCCTTGTTCTCGCTCTTCTCCTTATGGTAACCCCATGATGCGAATGTTGGCACGCTTTATGTTGTCCTAGAGGCCCCTTAAACTATCCTCCTCATTTTTTTTTTATTCTTTTTTCTTTTTGCTGTTCTGATTGCATGTTTTCTGCTACCTTGTCTTCTAAATTGCTGATTCGATCCTCTGCTTCATCTTATCTACTCTTGTTTCCCTCTAACGTGTTCTTCATTTCAGTTATTGTAGTCTTCATTTCTGGCTGGTTCCTTATTATGTTTCCTCTCTCCATTTTTATGTTTCCTGTCTCTTTGTTGAAGTTCTCCCTGAGGTCACTGAGCATCCTTATAACCAGTGTGCTCAACTCTGTGCCTGATACACTGCTTGTCTCCATTTCGTTTAGTTCTTTTTTTTTTTTAACCTTATTCTGTTCTTTCATTGGGGACACATTTCTTTGTCTCCCCATGTTGGCTGCCTCCCTGTATTTGTTTCTATGTATCAGGTGGGGCTGCTATGTCTCCCAGTCTTAACAGAGTGGCCTCATTTAGTAGGTGTCCTGTGGAGTCCAGTGGCACAGTCCCCCTGGTCAGCTGAGCCGGGTGCTGATGCTATGTCCCTTGTGTGGGTTGTGTGAGCCCTCCTGTTGGAGTTGAGCCTTGATTGCTGTTGGGACATTAATGGGAGGGATTGACCCTCGGGGTTAATGGCTGTGAGGACTGACTGTGACAACAGTGGAGGAGCTTCTGTGCAGGGGCTGACCCTACAGAGCGGGAGTCACTTTAGTGGGGCACTGGTGCCTGCCCAGTCTGCCCTTTGGGTGTCTTATATAGATCTACTTTCTTTTTTTTAGAGATTTTTATTGGGGG